GCGCCGCCTGTCTGCGCGCTCTGGGGCTGCAGGGCCCGAGGCGGCACCCGCCCCCCCTCCCGCCTCCGCCCCCAGCCCCCTACCCCGCCACCCCGGTGCGGGATGCGGGTTCAGAGCGCGGCGCCTGCGCCAGGGTGGCCGGGGAGCCGTGGGTCTGTGTCCCCAGCGCACACACGTCCCGGACACCGGGGGGAGCCAGCCCCGCCTGCACCAGGCGCCCGTCGGGGAGGGAGGGCGCCCCTGAACCCACAGTCGTGTCCCGCAGGGCGGGACTCCAGGACCCCAGGTTGCGCTGGGCTGAGGGCGTGACTGTCCCGAAAACTGACAGAAAGCTGCCCTTCCCCCCACTAACACCTCCCCCCCACGCCGTGGAGGTTCTGGGGGTCCCGCCAGGCCACTGCCCAGCTCTGCTGCCTCACTGACACCTGTGTGGGCTTGGCCAGTCTTGGGTCGGCACCGTTTTCTGTGTGGCTTCCGAAGGCGCCTGCTGTCCCCCTACAGGACCAGGTGAGCCTGACACCCCTGTCACTGGCCACCAATTTGTCCCTGGGACAAAGCAGCTCTGAGGACCAGGCGTCTTGTTGCTGTGGGAACCAGCTTTCTCCCAAAGAACCCACTTTCTGTCTTCCCGGTGCCGGCGGGCTGGCTGGTGGTGTCTCCTGGTTGGCAGCCTTTCTCTTAAGGGTTTGTCAAAGCTCTTTACACCTTCGCACTGGACACTCTGTCACTTCTTGCAGCTCCTTTGTCCCCACTCTGGCATTAGCTCCTGACCTGGTGGTTTGGGGGTTTGTAAACCCAGGGTACTCTGAGCATACTCATGATTGTAGACGCCCATCCCCGCTGCTGTCTGGAAGTCTCCCTTTGTGGGGTGTGTCTGGGGTGAACATAGTGGCGAGAGTAACCCCAAAGGTGCTCATCCCTGCTCCCTTTCCTCCTGGGCAGGACCTTGGAGTTTCCTTTCATGTTTCTACAGCCACTGGGAGGCGCCTAGGGCCCTGGAGTGTAGTGAGGCAGCCGCTTGCGGGGTTCCCCATTGGAATCCCAAAGAACCGTGCCTATGTCCCCCTTGTTAAAGTGCTGGGGCTCCCATATGAGAGGGAAAGTGACAGCCCAATCCAATTTCCCCCAGCCTCATATGTGGGGACGGGTGGGCTGGGGATGGCAAGGAGGATCAGTCACGGTAAGAAGTCAGAGATGGCCGAGTGGAGGAGTAAATGGGCCTGTAGGGTCAGCCATCTGCCACTCCTCTTCCACTGGCTTAGTTCACAAGAAACCAAGTCCTGGCAGTCGAGATATGGCTAGAAGGGAGGGCATGTGGTCAGGGCCTGGCTTTTGAACCCGGTAGAAGGAGGACATGGGTCCCAGGGGTTCGGGTGTAGGCACAAGGAGCCTGAGCCTGGGCCACCATCAGCCCTTTCCCAGGAGCTGGCTGGGTTCTCCAGGGATTCACGGAGTTGGATGGGGGACCTGAAGATCCCTCTCCAGTGTGCATCTCTCTGCCCTCCCTTGTTACAGATTGAATTGTGTCCTAAAATATGTAAAAGGAGGGGTTCTGGTGGCCTAGTGGTAAGAAGCTGCACTGCAATCTCAAGGGCACATGGTTCGAGGCCACCAGCTGCTCCTTGGGAGAAGGATAGGCAATCGCCGGTGGGATTAACTGCCTCTGAAAACCCGCCACTGTGTCAGCTATGGGTTGGTTCTGACTCAATGATGCACAACAACACGATGATAGAAATAGACAATTAAGTGTGAGAAAATGATTTCAAAAACCCCACAAAATATGTAAAAGGAGTCTCATGGCATGATGCGCCTTATGCATTAGGCTGCAAACAGAAAGGTGGATAGTTTGAATCCACCAGCTGCCTTGAGGGAGAAAGATGGGCAGTGTCCATAAAGTTTGCAGCCTTGGAAACTAGTTCAGGTCGCTAGGAGTCACCCTGCTCTATGGCAGGTTTTTTAAATGTTTTAAAACATATACAAGAGAGAGATGTGGTGTCTCTCTCCCCCTCTCTCTCTCTATATCTATCTATCTATCTATCTCTATCTCTACATCTACATCTCTATATCTCTATCTATCTATTATCTATCATCTATCTATCTATCTATCTATCTATCTATCTATCTATCTATCTATCTATTGTTGTTGTTTAGTGCCATCGAGTCGCAGGCGACTCATAGCGTCCCTATGAAGGAGAGTCCTCGACGCTTGGGTGCCTTTCATCCTTTCTCCAGGTTCATAGGGTTTCCGGAGGCAAGCTATTATGGAATTGGATGCCACTCCTGCTTCCAAGCTTGTTTTAATCAGGGAGCTCCACCCCACTCTCAGTCCGCATTGGGTAGCCAACCATTAATGCATTTGACACATCCGTGTCACAGTGTTCAGCCTCACAGCACCTAAAATATGAACCATGTAACATTAGGAAATTGTCAACTAGATGTTCCTGTATCTATTAAATCTGTGTCCATTCAAAATGATACACAGCATTAAATTAGTTAATGTGTTCCTCTGCCAGCTTTCCAGAAATGCAGTCCCTCCCTAACTACAATTTACTAACATGGGTAAAATTCCTACATTGTAACAAACAATACTCAAGAGCCAGCTCCCTTTCCTGTTAAGAACCAGTGTGCCTTCAATTAATTTAAGTAATTTCACAA